ACACCATGGTCGATGGTGTTGAAAGCCGCTGAGAGGTCCAGGAGTATCAACAGGGTCACACTCCCCTTGTCTCTCTCCCGGCAAAGGTTACAGGACGACTAAGGCAGCCTTCATACCAAAGCCTGGCCTGTAACCTGATTGAAATGGACCCAGAAAATCCATTTCATCCAGCAGCACCTGGAGTTGTCTGACCACAACCCACTCCAACACCATGCCCAAATAAGGGAGGTTTCCCTCTGGATTTAACCAGGTGTATTAGTTTAATATATGTAAAGCACTATGAAAGGTACATGGCCAGCATCCAGATTTAGTCATGCTTGCAGTGGTCCCATGAAAATCAATAAGGTTTAAGTGAGTTTTTGCTAACGTATCCCATTGATTAAAGTGGGTCCACTTTAAACATGGGTGAACTTCAAACTCATATGTTGAATATATCAAATAAAAAAACTTTGATTCCACATCAGAGTACATGTGTCAGTTTGCTTCTTTTTCAGGAAAGTAACTACATTCCTAATCCAACTAACTGCTTTATTAAAATGCTTCCCCTAACCATCTGTGCAACATTTTCAAGATTCATAATGTAACTTTTTCATACTTATGCTTTAATTTGCTGCAAGAGGGATTATGGCTGGCTAATGTCACAGATTGTCATTATTCAGAATAAAATAAATGGGGAAAGAAGTGCAGAAAGGAGAACATCATATTGATTGAGGAGCCTTAGGGTCTGATTTCAATGTAGCATCCTTGTTTGAAACTGCTGCAGAAAAGTTTCCTTCCTTCCTTCCCTTCCTCCCTCGTGAATGACATAATGTTCATTACAATTTGGGACTATATCATGCACCATCTATTACTACAATTGACCAATAAGCTGCATATTGTTAGATCCAAGAGTCCTTGATGAAGACGGTATTGGGAAATAATTAGTTATCTAATCTAATCAGCTGGTGGTATTCCCATTTTAGTGTGATACAGAGAAAATAAATAATGTAGTGGATGCTGTTAACACAGTCTATCTGTTACTCAAATCAGTAGGATATAATGGAATTTTTATCATATACTACTACAAAAATATCAAATCTTTTCTTAATGCTGTTGACTCTTGACATCTTTATAGTATTATATAGTATTATATTGCACCTTGTTCTTACCTCTTAATTAAATTTAATTCTTGACTAAAAGTGCTTCTCTTTAAGATTCTGAATAAACTAATTGCTTTTCTTATCATACCATACTTCATCAATTTGTTGTCCTTCAGGTACAGTGGAACCTCTACTTAAGAACTTAATCCGTTTTGGAATGGTGTTCTTAAGTTGAAACGTTCTTAAGTTGAAGCAAAATTTCCCATAGGAATGGACTGAAAACCAATTAATCCGTTTTGGCGTTTTTTTTTTTTTGTTTTTGTTTTTTTTGTTTTTTTTTTTTTTTGGTTATGTAGAGGTGCGTTCGTACATTGAAGCATTAGTTCCCATAGGAACGAATGCAAAGCTGGTTAATACATACTCTACCACTAGGGGGAGATTTTTTTTTTAAACCAAGATGAGCTTAAAAAAAGAGCAGGAAAGTTTTTTTTTCCTGTTCTTGTCTTGGATTTCTGTTCTCAAGTAGCAGCAAAATTTAGCAAATGGAGCTGTTCTTAAGTTGGATTGTTCTTAAGTAGAGACGTTCTTAAGTAGAGACCCCACTGTATATTGGACTACAAGTCCCATAATGTCTCTGCTAGGGAATTTTATTTATTTATGAAATTTATATAGGTTGCTTAATATATTAACATATCTTAAGGGGATTCCAGTTCTTGTTTTACATGCTTGGAGGACAAGGCTGGGGAAGGCTGTGCTACACTGGTGGAAGAATTCAGCATATCATTGCCATGTTAGTGTTACAATACTAGGTCTCTTGGATTTTATTCACAAAAGTAAATAGTGATAGGAACTCAGAGAGCTGCCTTATACTGAGTCATTCCACTGGTCCATCCAAACTAGTGTTGCCAATGTTATATAGTGATGGCACTCCAGGATTTCAGACAAGACTTCTCCCTCACACTACTGTGAGCTGCTGGAGATTGGATTTGGGCAAAGCACGTGTTCTGCCAGTGAGCAAGATGCATTTCTATGTTGTGGCATATTTTATGGTTGCTATTTTGCCAGGTGAGCTATGCATGCAAAACATCTGATCAGCAACAAGCAGACATAGAACAATTTGCAGGAATCATAGAAACTGCAAAGAAGAACACGTTGCTTCTGTAACTGATTTTTTTAAGTGCTAATGCATGAATTCACACAACCCACTGTTCTCTCCTCTAAGATTCTCCTGTCGTGATATGCTCCACTGTTCTCTTGGTTTCTTTTGGCAATTATGGCAGACTTGGAACTGAGAGGAAGGGAAGAAATGGGAATGCCTGACCACCTAATCTACCTCCTGAGAAATCTATATGTGGGACAGAAAGTAACAGCTAGAACTGGATATGGAACAATTGATTGGTTCAAAATTGGGAAAGGAGTACGATAAGGCTGCATATTGTCTCCCTGCTTATTTAACCTATATGCAGAATACCTCATGCGAAAGGCTGGACTGGATGAACCCAAAGCCAGAATTAAGATTGCCAGGAGAAATATCAACAACGTCAGATATGTAGATGATACCACTCTGATGGCAGACAGTGAGGAGGAATTAAAGAATCTCTAATGAGGGTGAAAGAGGAGAGTGCAAAAAAACCTAATATCATGGCCACTGGTCCAATCACCTCCTGGCAAACAGAAGGAGAAGATAGGGAAGCAGTGACAGTTTTACTTTTTTGGGCTTCATGATCGCTGCAGATGGTGACAGCAGCTATTAAAAGACTTCTGCTTCTTGGAAGGAAAGTGATGACAAACCTAGACAATATCTTAAAGAGCAGAGACATCCCCTTGCCAACAAAGGTCCATATAGTCTAAGCTATGGTTTTTCCAGTAGCAATGTATGGAAGTGAGAGCTGGACCATAAAGAAGGCTGATCGCCAAAGAATTGATGCTTTTGAATTGTGGTGCTGGAGGAGACTTTTGAGAGTCCCCTGGACTGCAAGGAGAACAAAACTATCCAATTTGAAGGAAATCAACCTTGAGTGCTCACTGGAAGGACAGATCCTGAAGCTGAGGCTCCGATACTTTGGCCAGCTCATGAGAAGAGAAGACTCCCTGGAAAAGACCCTGGTGTTGGGAAAGTGTGGAGGCAAGAGGAGAAGGGGACGACAGAGGACGAAATGGTTGGATAGTGTCATTGAAGCTACTAACATGAATTTGATCCAACTCCGGGAGGCAGTGGAAGACAGGAGGGCCTGGCGTGCTCTGGTCCATGGGGGTCACAAAGAGTCGGACATGACTTAATGACTAAACAACAAGAACACATTTTGTTGCTTGTTACAACCCCCCCCCCCAACAACTCGTCGTTGCTGGGAGCATTTTGTTGCTTGTTACAACCCCCCCCCAACAACTCGTCGTTGCTGGGAGGGGCTTAAAAGAAGGAATATGTTATATTCTTGATCACTTGGTTGTTGTTTTTTCAGGTGATTGGGCTTATCATAATAATCTTTTTCTGTTTTTATTTATTTATTTCAAAACAAGGGGCTTTTGCCACTCAGAATAACACAAGGGCCTATGTGTTGCTCACAGCATCATAGAATCAGAGTGGATGAGAGTTTGTTGTTCTGGCAGCAAGCATTATTGGCAGCCATTAACTCTTACCAATGCTGCACATACACAGAAAGAGAGGTGGAGGTTAACATTGTGGCGACCTTTTTAAATCATAAAATAAGCATCTGTAATGCTTCATAAGTAACATGAAGAAAAAGTATTCATCTGTATATAGAAAGATTTTTCTGTTCCAGTCAGAAGGGCATAGCATTTCTTCGTAAGATCCTGCAGTTATAATTTCAATACTTGCAACCTGTTGCTTCTGAACTCTTCCTATTCTTCCATGAAATATTGCTTTATCTGTATCTGCAGTTCAACTGTGAAGGCAGATTGTTGCTTTGCTCAGTAATCAAGTACTGTACATCCATTCATTTTATTTATATTGTGGCTTTCTTCCCCTAAAGGAACTTTGTTCAGCAATTATGCCGCAAAAGGTGATCTTAAATGTGTTGGGTTTTTTTACTTAATGAGCTTCATTTTTAACTTATGTTTGAATTAACTTTCTTTTTATCTTGGTTTTGCTGATTGTAGTTGCTTATTGGAAACTGACATGTTGGAAATCATATCCTAAGCATCACTTAAAAGAAAAAATATTTCTTATATTCTTTTGGTCCTGGTATCCTGAATTATGCTAGATAAGCTTTATGAAGGCTCTGTTTTGAAGTCTGCAAGTAGACCAGTTGGTTACTGGTAAATGAGTTCCGTTAAACCACAGATAGGCCCATCTATCTATCCAATGAGGCAGTTACGTGTCACTGATATTATACATGGGAAGCACAAGAAGCGGAGTTAAATTTTAAAAGGTCCCCTCATCTGAATCTTTTTGCACTTCTTTGTCACAACTAAATGGATATTCTTGCTCGATTGACACTTTGATTATACAATACTGTACTGCCACTTTCCTTTATTTTTGTTGTCTAATGTTACTGCTGTTTTTAAATAACAACATATACCAGGTAAAGCCACTTCCACTGTAACTATAATTGGGAAGCTGTTACACATGAACTTCACTTTTTTAATTGTGGCATGACTTTCATTTTTAAAAAAAGCTCAAGAAAATTTAATAGAAACAGGTGGTTTTTTTTATAACTAATTTTGCTGTTTGATTTTCTTCTTTGCCTGATAAGTGGATGGTTAACAGAGATTTGCAGTTTAATCCTGCATATGTTTGCTTAAAAGTAATTCTGACTGTATTCTGTGAGACTTACTTTCCAATAAATAACCATGGAATTGTAGTCCTGGTCCACTTTTGTTTAAAATTCAAAATGTTTGGGTAGAATGTATTAAAACAAATGCATTATGTGTAATGGTGTCATTTTTTTTCTTCACCTGAAGGTCACTCTGTGAGATTGCTGGGTCAGAAGAAGGATAATGGAAAGCGGCTGGGGGGAGCTCGATTGGACTTGCCAAAGATTAGAAAGAACCCACTGATAGAAATAATTTCCATCAATACAGGGTAAGCATCATTCAAACTGACATAAAATATTCAATACTGCCTAGAAATTCAATTTCATTTTTGCCTATTCTTAATGCATAGCTGTTGTGGGTCATGTTATGAGAAACAATTTAGAGGAAAACACTGAACATTCTAAAGGCATTAATTATTTTAAAGCAAGTTATTTAATGATTTACCTTTATTGCACAGTATTAAAAAGGTATATGTTTACTGTAGTGTTATTTCTAATAGTTTGGGTGTTATGATAAAGTTCTTTATTTTGTTGCTGTGATCAGTCTCTTCAATTACAATAACTCATTTTTCCATCCCAGACTCTTAAATAGCCCATTCATAAGCACAGTTTGAGGTTGGGAGGACAATACAAGATGAGATTTCTCTATTTGTGTAAGGTGCTTCCCTTCTTTCCAAATTCAGACAGTTCCAGCCCTCTGTATACTGCATATGTCTTTGCCTATTGTCATTCATTGTTTGAACTCCAATCTCCTGCCCAATTCCATGTTTTTATTCTATGGTGTTTTTTCAGCCTATATTTTACACCTTGATGCCGGGCTTCTTTTCCTGTTTTTTCTTCATTAATGAACAGAAGCTTACTGCAAATGTATACCACTTTAATCTGCACTTGGATGTTTGTAACCAAGAAATGCATGTTCTCCCTGATCCATGTGGAACTGTATGATCCACTAATGTCAGTGAGAGCTGGGATAAGAGGAGACACCATGTGGACCCGATGGCCAGATCTGGCCTCTTCATTGATGTGCATGTAATTATACAATGGTGCCCTGCAAGATGATGTTAATCTGTTCCATTGAAATCGCTGTTTAGCGAAAACATGCAATTGAATGCATTGAAATCCATTTAATGCGTTCCAGTGGGGAAAATAGTCATTGTTGTGCAAAGATCGCCCATAAGGAAGCCATTTTGTGAAGCGCTGATCAGCTGTTAGAATCGCTATCTTGCGAAGCATCGGTCCCGAAAACACCCGTTTTGCAAAGATCGCCCATAGGGAAGCCACTTTGCGAAGTCGTTGATCAACTGTTCAAATCGTCATCTTGCGAAGCATCGGTCCCGGAAAAAAACCTGTCTTGCGAAGCACGGACCGAAACATCGTCCAGCGGAAATTGCCCATAAGAAACACTGTTTCGCGAAGCGCAGTGGCGATCGCAAAAACTTGCCGTCATGCGGGGTAATCGCCTAGTGGGGCACCACTGTACCCTGTTTTCTCAGTGATGGTTCTTGGTAGTATCGTATGGGCTCTGCTGGTTTTCTGGGAGTGCCTTGCAGAGGAGGGAGAAGAAAGAACTCCAGGCCCTGGCACTGTAATGCCAGTGTAATGTTGAATGTAAGCCAAAAGCTTTTTTTTATTTTCAAATTAACTGTAAGATTAAAACGTCTTAACTACTTATGTGCCCTTTCTGCAGTGTAGTAATGGTTTACCTATGTTCATGTTTTGTTGAAGAATTTTAAGGTGGATTTTTCTTGATGGTGGTTTCATTATTTCTACCTTACTTGAGTTATACTGTATGTTGGGATTCTGGGGTTGCCGCTTAAATTGACACCTGCTGTGACAAACCTTGAAGATAGTGTTAGGCATACATATGTCCCATTTTCTTTTAGATGGTAACTAGTACGTAATTATTATAGCAGGGTTATTCCTTATGAAACTGAGGGTGCAAATTCCTTGTATGAAGATTTTAGAAATGATAATGTGGGCGAGTACAAAAAAGAAAAAGTAAATAAAAAGTAGCTCTTGCATCCTTTTCATGTTTTTATTCTCTGATCTTAGATATTATGAGAAACTTATGGAAACTCTTTCACAGTCTTTATTTTGGAAGTCCAACTAAGAAAGCTAAGTGAAGGATGTTGAATCCCTCCTCCTTAGGGCAAAAAGAAGCATGTAAACAGCTTTCATATTTTTCTTCATGAACATAACAAGTTCTGCTTAACAGTTGGAAGAAACCACATGAGTATAGTGAGAGAGAACTGTTTACTGCTGAAAAATTACAAAATCTCTGATTTATGCCTGAGGTTTCTCTTACATGCATGAATGTGTGTGTGTGTTTTACTGGAATACATCAAAGATACTGGTTCTTGATTAAATTATTTTAATGGGTTTTCTGACACAGCAGTTTTCCAGTTACTTTTCCAACTACGAAACTGGAGGTTTTAAAAGCCAAATAATAGATTTTTTTTGGTCTTCATTGTTTTAGTTATGAGCTTCAACATTACTAAATACATTTGAGTTCAGGATAGGGGGCTGGTGCTAGCTAAGATACAGTTTTTATAGTGTAAAATATGTCTTGTGCCAGGAGAAGTAAAAACCACATCTTGTGCAAGATATTAGAGTTAGTTCTATTATTGTGCCTGTTGGTTCCATCTCCTTTATAATTGCTCATTACAGCTTGTCTGCTGAGTAGGCTTTCACTGAAATAGCTGTGCCCATGGGAAATCTGATTCTTTCCTGCTGTTCTATTTTTGATTTTCCTTTATAGCTGCTTTTCTGTACTGCTGTTCTGAGGAACAGAATATTAGGTATATAACTCCTTCTCTGGACTTTTGACTACCCAATACCATCCTACACACAGATTTATACCACCTGTGATTGAAGACCTTAATATGCCCCAGATGAAGCAGTTACGATAAGGAATGCTGACTGCAGGTCAGATAGTTCAGGATAATGTGAACAAGTGAGCTATGGCACACAGGAGACAGGGCGACGGCTTTCTTGACTGTCGTTTCTACACAAATATGATGGATTTGGAAGGAAAGTGGGATTGCTTCCTGACTAATTATTGTATTTGCTAGCAGGGCTTGAAAATAACTAGTTACACCTACATGTAATTACTTAGTTTTAGGTAGCAAATAATTTAACTTGTAGTTACAAAGATACTTCTTAGGTATAGTGGGCAATACTCAATAGAAATATGCCATTCAAATTTCTGAACTCCAGCTTCCAGAATTCTCCAAGAATTCCCCCAGCAGAATTCTGGGAATACAGAAACACTTTCAGACACCTTTACTTCCCTTGCCCGAATCAGGGCCTGTCCCTCCAAGGTGGCATTCTAGGGCTTCATTTCATGCCACAGTGCTTCTTGAGAGGGAGCTGCCTCAGTGCTTCCTAGTCATTGTACAGTAGTCTTACTGCCCTCCAAAAGAACTGCAATGCCCACAAAGCATTGAAGGCAGCCTTAGAGTGCTAGGCTGTGTTCCAGATTAGAGACATGTAGATGTCTGAAGGTTAGACTCTGTGGACTGGAAATCCCAGAATTCTGAGAGTTGATGTAAAAAAAATGAATGGCACATCACTGACACCTAATTTACTTAGCTGCAACAAGTAACACCTAGTTTCAAAAGTTACTTTTTAAAGGTCTTTAACGTCATTACAAAGGCATCTTGATAGGAGTTCTTAAAGATTTATGTCATTCTTTTACCAATCCTAAGGAACAAGGGAAGTATTATTTGGGTGCCCCCCTGTATTTTTATAAACATTTTGGGTGCAATATCAGAGTTGGCCTCTGGAAAGAACCAGAAAATATTTCCTTGTTTTTTTCTGGCCTGTTAGTAAAAGTAGTGCAATTCACTGATAATATGCAGCATAAGGAATTACTTCTGCAATCAGAGCAACATCAATGATAACAGTAATTTGCCTGCCAAGAAGTAATGAGTAATGCAACAAGTACCTTTTCAAATGTAAAATTTTGAGCTCTGGCTGCTAGAATATGCGTAATGGCAAAATATGTATATGTTAAAATACATAAATAGTCAAAATATTGGAATATAAGTTACGTCAACCACCGACATAGATTTTGTACTTGGAAATTGATTCCTTAGTATCAGAGTAATATTATTTGTTAAGAACTGCACAGATACAAATAAATAGTAGTTTTTTTGCTGCTATTAGGCATCCTTCAGTCTCGAGAGACTATGGTAACGTACTCTGTATGGAGGTTTTGGAACAGTGTCTAGTGTGACCAAGAAGGACAATTCGAGACAATCCTTTCCACACTGTGCCCTATCCAGCTCCCTAATTTTGCTGCTTTCATGACTGCCTCTTGGCCTTGATCTGCTGGACAAGGGCCTCTTTGAATTGGGAGAGGCTGCGATGCACCACCTGCCTCCAGGCTGAATGCTCAGGTATCAGTGTTTCCCTTCGGGGTCCATTCCTAAGGCCTTCAGATCCTGCTGGCAGATATCCTTGTATCGCAGCTGTGGTCTCCCTCTGGGGGGAATTCCCTGCACTAATTCTCCAGACAGGAGATCTTTTGGAATCCATCCATCAGCCATTCTCACAACATGGCGAAGCCAACGTAGACATCACTGTTTCAGGAATGTATACATGCTAAAAATTCCAGCTCGATCTAGGACTACTCTATTTGGAACTTTGTCCTGCCAGGTGATACCAAAAATGCATCGGAGACAACGCATATGGAAGGTGTTCAGCTTCCTCTCCTGCCATCCACAAAGGGTTCAGGACTCACTGCAGTACAGGAGTGTGCTCAGGACACAGGCTCTATAGAACTGGATCTTGGTAACACAATTGATATACATATTTACCCTTCATATAGGTCAGTATATGCAAGTGTATTTTGTACATACTGTAAGAATTGGTTCCCAAGTAAAAATATCTTCATACCTCTGTCTTTCAAAACCAAATGAGGCCCTCTAAAACTCCACTTCATTTGCTTCATTTTCTCCAGTTGTGGTTGTCTACATATTGCATAGAAAGAAATACTTAAATTATATGGGGAGAAGAATCTCCTCCTGACCTTGGTGAGTCACAGTAGAGGCAGAAGAATGGAGAAACCACAAGAAGTTTCATAAATATATTCAGATCTGTGTAGAACTCAGTAGACATCTTGGTTGCTACAGTTGTTCTGTCCACATTCCAGAATATTTTACCTCGTGAAGAATACAAACATGTCTCAATAAGTACTTGTTTAATTTTTGTTCTGCCCTAATTTATCAAAGGAAACAAAGCAGCTAAAAAAGAATAAAAATAGTAA